CCCTTTGAGGATATAGCCATTAACCATCTAAGTTACTCATTAAACACTACCAATATTATAAAAATCAACTGGGATGATGAAAGGAAAGGTATAGCAGGATGATGAAGGGAAAGGGATAACAGGATGATGAAGGAAAATAGATAACAGGATGATTAAGGGAAAGAGAAAACAGGATGATGAAGGGAAAGAGATAACAGGATTATGAAGGGAAAGAGATAACAGGATGATGAACGGAAAGAAATAACATGATGATGAAAGGAAAGAGATAACAGGATGAAGGGAAAGAGATAACAGGTTGATGAAGGGAAAGAGATAACAGGTTCATGATGGGGAAAATATACCAGAATGGTGAAGGGAAAGAGACAACTTGAAGATGAAGGGAAAGAAATATTTGCAAAAGAAAGGGAAATAGATGACAGGATGATGAAAGGAAAGAGATAACAGGGTGATGAAGGGAAAGAGATAACAGGATGATGAAGGGAGAGTGATAACAGGATGATGAAGGGAAAGAGATAACAGGTTGATGAAGGGGAAAATATACCAGAAAGGTGAAGGGAAAGAGACAACTTGAAGATGAAGGGAAAGAAAATATTTGCAAAAGAAAGGGAAAGAGATGACAGGATGATGAAGGGAAAAAGATAACAGGATGATGAAGGGAAAGTGATAACAGGAAGATAAAGGGAAAGAGATAACAGGATGATGAAGGGAAAGTGATAACAGGAAGATAAAGGGAAAAAGATAACATGGTGATGAAGGGAAAGAGATAACAGGATGATGAAGGGAAAGTGATAACAGGAAGATAATGGGAAAGAGATAACATGATGATGAAAGGAAAGAGATAACAGGATGATGAAGGGAAAGAGATAACAGGGTGAAACATCGGAAAATATCATTTTAACCGAATGTTACAAATTGGTCTGTGAGAATTTTATTTTAATGAATATTATAGCCGTGTATAAAATTGCCTCATTGAGAAACTCACTGGCTTGTGATTATTTCTGTAACTGACAGTGTAGCCGCCAATAGCTGCAATACTGCTGATGCGGCTTTATGCAATATTACTCACTCACTCACTGACGGTGATAGTTTCGTTTCCAGCTTTCGAACACATCACTCTCATTGGACATTCATGTACACAATTTCTTTTGTTAAATTATATTGAGCATGTCGAGGGTTTTAATATAAAGTACACAGGAAAGTGTCAAAACGGGAGACGACCCTACTCTATTCCACACAGGACTTTGTGTTTGTAAATTTCATAGCATTTTTAAGCTCAAGTCATAATTTTGTTAAATGCTACTTGGAGAATGAAGAGCATGAAAGAAGCATGACCAGAGGACTACTAACGTGCGCATGCACCTTGACCTATGATATTACGCATGCGCACGGACAGCGTCTAAAACGCGAGATCGCGAGAAAATTCACATTCTCGCGTTCTCGCGATTTCGTGGTTTTGTGGCCTCATTTGACAAGTCGAGATTGCGAGGTTTTGCATCATGTCCGAATTTGGCATTCTCGCGTTGTCTACTTTTGACAGAAAGTGCTTTGTACCAAAAACAAGAGATTTGTACGCCAAATCTCGCGTTCTCGCATTCTCGTGTTTTGGGCATATTTAGCTTATTTCCAAAGGTCGAGATTGCGAGAATGCGAGATCGCGAGAATGTCCCTTACAGTATTCCATACGGGACACATGGAACGTGAGGCATGTTTTCAACTACATGCAATAACTCTTCAAAACGTGTCGACGAATGTTTCTATAAATTAGCTCACAATTCATGAATGAAACAAAACAACAAATAAATAATTTGTCTTTATGTGCAATCGATTTTCGTGACAGGATGTTTTGTCAAAGGAGGGTAATGTCCGTACTAAGCCAAGACAACCAAGACACAGAGTCTAATCACCTGATGCTTTTTGGTCGCCTCTTACAACCAGCATAGTTTGTTGGGAAACTATATACTCAATGAGTTCATCTTTATTGGGAAACCAGAGTATCGTGGCACTTTTAGCAATAGATCAATACAACAAAAAATATTCATCTAGTCTAACTATTAATCAGGTGTGTTTTGAGTCCAGTGTTTGTGTAGACAAGTTACAATGTAAAGTCCTTTAAGTAGGTAAAAACAAAATAACACACTTCTCAATGGGCTGCTACATACTTCCACAATTCCAAACATAAAATCATTATATTTTGTTACAAATGAAATAAAGTTCATAGTTGTATTAGTCTGAACTTACCAACTGACCTAACAGATAGAAACAACTTATGCGTGTATGCTTACCAAGGGACAAAGAAGAATAGTTTCTAAACTGTTTCTTTAACAATTGCCTTCCTACTCATGCTTGCAAAAGTAGCGCTAGAACTGAACATTGATAACGTCAGATCAACATGAACTGTATATTTAACAGGAAGTACATCAACAATGTTGACCTTTTCAGTGGAGTACTACGATAACGTTCAGCTAACACTATTCATCCGTGATATTAATAACAACACCACTTGCTTACGAGGAAAGTCATCTCTATTTATTGAACATTTGTCATAGAATCAACGCAAAGGCGTGGCGAAAATGTATTCATATGGAGGTGTCCTTTATCCTGCGTGTTTAATAAATGTTTCGTTATCTCTATGTGTGAGGTGCTATATCGAGAACGAGGAAGTACACCAAACTCGGTTTTAATATTACTTGAACTCTTTCCCATGCCATTTACCGACTTCATCGATTATCAAACACTCAAACATGTCATAAACGAGAACATTTTACTAACGTTAACTCAAAAAAGGAAGTGGGACATAAAACCAAAGAACATCAATTTATTTGATACAAAAAATGTAAATATGGCATTTGCAAAATCATGTACAATTTACTGATATCAGCACATCTTTATGCTTAACATTTGAAGAAACAATATGGCAATGCATTCTGATAAAGTTATGTTTATAACGAAGTTTGCTTGGATTGACATAACACAATAATGTGTTTAAGAAATGATCAAAGCAGTTTATTTATTTCTTTACATGTTTTGTTAACAAAGTAAAGTGCGATATAAAAAAGTGAATAAATAGAAATTTAAAGAAGTGAAGTGCAGTGTCACATGTCCTGTTTCATTTAATATCACATTTGTTTTTGTATGATTTGTTTTTAGGCCACACTTAGCAACATTCCAGCAACAAGACAGCCGCCTACTTGTTTTTGGATCCGCGACAATTAGGGTTAAACTAGGTCTTCAGCAAACCATGCTTGCCGTAAAAAGGCGACAATGCTTGCGACTAACGGGATCGGGTGGTCAGGCTCCCTGACTTGGTTGATGCATGTCATCGTAATCCAATTGCGTAGATCGATGCTCATGGCATCACTCACTGGATTGTCTGGGCCAGGATCGTTTATTTACAGACCACCGTCATATAGCTGGACTATTACTGAGTGTGACGTTAAACAACAAACAAACACAACTTATAACACAGTCTGGAACGGATAGTTCAGTGATCGACATAAGACTCGACAATCCACACCATTGAGGTGAATAATCGACTCAGTCAACGAGCCTGACCACTCGATTCATAATGTAGCCTCCTTCCTCCAATAAAGGTTGCTTGGAACCAACTTTAAAGCCGAAAACTGTACTTGTTGAAATGTTAGGAAAGCAAAATTTTAGATACTACACTATGTGGCATTGTGTCCATATTTTCAGCTATCCCTTAATCTAATTGTTGTATACATTGGCTCACGCGTTTAAGACTATTCATGGGACGAGTATCGTAACGTTAATTGTGGAATTAAAAATATATACAGAAAATGATCAAGTAAATTCAAGAACAATCGTAAAACTTTCCGTTCTGCGAATGACGCCATGACTGACGGAAAGTCATGCACAACAACGACGTTAGTTATCTCTATTTCTTACTAATTCTCTTGACATCATTTGAAAACAATCAGCAAATTACACTACGCATTTTGTCGGTCAGCGGTAGTGATGTCATACGGAAGTGAACATTGTTGCTCACATTTGGTCTTTTCTTTGAGGTGAAAACATTTAAGTCGGCATCCAGCAGGTTTTGTTATTTTATTTAGTTTGCATTATCATCATCGCCTTGATAATCTATAGATAATATTAGATATGGCGTAAACCTGTTTATGTAGCGTCACATTAGTTATGCGAAGTAATCAGTACGTCGTGTGACGTCACTCATGACCGTTGTCATTGTATTAATGCGCCACTGTGATCAATATAATAAGAAAACATGAAAATGCATAAAAAGGTGGGATTTAAGGGTGTGTAAGAAACAGATTACTGCACTCATGCCTGCCAGATACAATTTATCCTACAACTCGTTAGATACGTTTTGAAACGACTCGTTGTAAGAGAAATGGTATCTGACAAACACTCGTGTAGTAATCTCTATATCCACCGACAAATATCTTCTCTTAAAGCCAGTTTTGATTGGTAAAAGCTGTGTACATGTCATCTCCTACAGATGCTACACCTTCTTGTCTCCATTCGTTAATTTCTAAATTTGCTATCCATTTGCATTGCCTTGACAAATACATATCGCATGCACTCATACAGGTATGTCATACGTTAATTAATAGTTAAGACCAGTAACCATTGCAGATTGCACCACAACAGGCGGTCGAAATAAACGTCCTGTTTGCTAGGCTAGGATTCCAAAACTACTGCGTTAGACCAGACAGACATACTATTAACCAAACACAGTGATAGTTCTTTTTAACATTGATGTGATTAGGTTTATAATAAGTGTGAAGTTCTGAAACACTATCCTGAAGATTAATTCTAAAATGTAATGTGAAACCTTTGTGCTAGATATCAATGTTATTTATTTCGAACTGTGTTCATGTATTCCATACAGTGGAATCGCGGCGCCTCAGACGATTGGGCCACCAGTGCCCACATACCCAACCCCCCAGCCCCCACCCCACCCCACCCCACCCCCACACAACCCCTACGACCACCACCACCCACCCCATACAGTGGACATGTACACTCCAGTCAATTATTAGTTTAAACAAGGCAAGAGTCTATTAATATGAGTCGACATACATGTTTAGTGTAGTCTCCCGTTACTTTTCAGGATAGCAGTACTTCATATGTTGACAATTTCTTCATATGTTCCCAGATGTTCATAGATGTTTGAGGGTTGGACAGCATTTCTATCAAGGGCAACATATTCTCCTCTCGTTTCAGGATGTAGGTTTTCGCCACCTGAAACAAATGCCAAAATTGTATTATACTTTGGGACAACTAGTATTTTAGTCAACAAATTGATTCATAAAAATTAGACGTGAGAACGGCCGACAAGGAATTAAAACAATCCACGCTTCAATCGCACTACGTTTATAAATCATTATGTAGACCCAAGAGTAATGGATTATTATGTTTATTGCATTGTCATCCGTTAGGATTCGTGGCTAGGAATGGTCCCCAGCAACATATGCTTGTCATTAGAGGCGACTAAATTGTGTAGGTGGTCAGTCTCCATCACATGGTTGCTTGCTTGCGTGTCATCGAATCACAAATGCGTTGAATTACGATCTTGAAATCTATCGAAGGATTGTCAGCTCCAGGCTCGGCTATTGGTAAACGTCATATAGCTTGAATTTTGCTATGTAAAGCTTTAAATAACTAACAAATAATAGCATTGTGAATAATACCAGTTAAACCACTTTCCGGGACAATTATGACATCGAAAAAGGCAAAACGTTATACAGAAACTAGTGAATATGAAGAATGAAATGTGTACAGGATATTGTATGTGTCGAGTGAAATATCATGTTTCTCTCATCGAATGCCGGGGCAAAGGAAATATATATTTTTTGTGTAGCTGTCTACCGGAAATTTACATTATTTCATTGCAAAGGAAAAACCTTGAAAGCTGAATTATCCCTGCCTAGCACTCAGGGGCTGTTCACCACCCCTTGCTTGTATTTGCGACTTAAAAAATGGTTTTGTGTTTGTAAAATCTTACAAGATATATACAGAAGTATCAAAAACATATTTAGGGTCACGAAAATTCTAAATCATACATTTAGATTTATCAAGTGAAATATCAAGTTTTATGTTAACTGGAGTGAAATGTCAAGTGTTATGTTCACTGCAATGATAATATCACTTTTCTCAACTTTCTCAAAATGCCAAACTAGTGTCATGGACCTACCCATCACACCTGTCTCTTTGGATGTCCCTGTTGTGACTACTCTGTCACCTCCAGTACTAGGGACGCACGCAGGATTTATACGCAGTCCGTGTCGTTGACGATCATTACTAGAAGCAGATCCTCCCGAGCCGACTACAACATTGTCCTCAGCCTGGTTCCGTTTCCCTTGTGACAGAGTTACAGCCACGTCATCATGTGCATGCTTGTCTGCTGATCTTGTCACCTGTTTTAAACAACGAAAAAAAACCAGAAAAAATGATATACCCCATCTACTGATACGCTAGTTTAGTTTCGAGACATTTAGGGCAGTGGATAGCTTAGTGGTTTAGGCATTCGCTGAAAAGCCGGGTTCGATTCCCCACATGGGTAGTGTGGGAAGTCCTTGGCTGGTGTCCCCGCCGTGGTATATATACAGTATCGCCGATGCAAAAAAATATCGCATAATAGGGTGTCTTTGGCGTAATACTACATGTAGGTGTGACGACACGTGTCCTTGATCAGTCTCATTAATTAGTGAGTACACGAGAAACCACTGGTCAGTAAAGTACAACTATAGCTTTTTGGCAGTGAGTGAGCAAGTGAGTGGGGTTCACGCCGCTTTTAACAGTATTCCAGTTATATCACGGCGTGTCAGCTTGATGTGGGAGGAAAGCCCAAAATGATGCAGGTTTCGGACGTTTACCACTTCGGTGAAACCCACGAGCACGGGTATTGTGCTGACAAACCTAGAAACATAATCGAGGCGAACCGGGATTCGAACCCACAATCATAGGTTTCTGGCGTGCCCAAGGGACGCAACTCTGCACAGCAAATCGCGGCACCTTAAACGACTGGGCCACCCGCGACCCCTTTTGGCAGTGCCTTTTATTGTTTAACAATGATTGTAACTGTGCTACATTGTTTCTGCTGAAATTCTTCAGACGTTCATTGCAATGTGTTTTGAAAATGATTAGTCGTCAGGAATGAAGTTCTATGTAGTAAGCAGTCGTCAGGAAATTATTATATTTAGATGCTGTCATAAATCTACACATAGGATATCTCACATACTGCACCTGATTGAAGAGGATGTATAGAACAAGAAGATGTGTCGCACACCCTGAACACCCTCTTGAGATTAAATCAGTTTATGTTTAGGAAGAAGTCTACGCATATTTACAGATAATTTGCATTTGACCCGATTACAGCCTTTGCAATGTAAATATGATTATGCTAATTATATCTATACCAACTAGTTGTCTATCGAATGGCCGACACTTCATATGCCACATACACCTTCTATAGAACCTGTGAAGATCCGGGTTAGAATATGTCTTCAGCAAACTATGCTTGACGTTAAGAGACGTTAAGACATCAGCCGACAATGAAGGATTTGGAAAATGCACATTCGAACTTATAACGTTACCTGTATTTCTAAATCATCAGTACTCGTGGATACTGTGCACATCTGAAAAAGATAACTTTTATTGTATCAATCTGACATAACATCTGTCCCACAGCAAACGGATCCGATCCCAAGGCTAGTATAGTCACGACATGACGATCAAGACAACACGTGGAAAAAAACATTATCAAACGAAACATTAATTTGGAATACAGAGAAACACTTGACGTAAATATCGTTTCAACGCAACATACTTTCAATCATTGTATGGCATAATAAGTGGTGTCCCAGATTTGATGAATCTAGCGTTTGCTGCAGCTTGATTCATCGTCTTACTAAAGCTGTCTGTATGGCTCGGTAACCAACACAAAATGATGTCTCATTGGCCAGTAGCAACATTATTATGTAATTGAATGATGTCAAATACAATGTACTGCTCACAAGAACCATTTTACATTGGCCGAAGTCAGGACAGGGAGTTTGAAATATAATCAGTTGGTTATGTTATTTTCTAGAGCTGTTAAAAATAGAGTATGATATATTTATCTATCCACTGGCATTGTCAGCTTTGTTGTCACTCTAAGTATATAAGAATATATGATTTTTATTAAATTATACGGGGGCACTGGTGGCCCAGTCGTCTAAGGCATCGCGATTCGCTGTGCAGAGTTGCGTCCCTTGGGCACGCCAGAAACCTATGATTGTGGGTTCGAATCCCGGTTCGCCCCGATTAAGTTTCTAGGTTTGTCAGCACAATACCCGTGCTCGTGGGTTTCACCGAAGTGATAAACGTCTGAGACCTGCATCACTTCGGGGTTTCCTCCCACATTAAGCTGACATGCCGTGATGTAACTGATGTACTGTTAAAAGCGGCGTTAAACCCAACTCACTTGCTCACTCACTATTAAATTATACAGAGTGCTGTCTCATAAGCCTCAATGAATAGACTGTGAAAAGGAAATGTTCAGAAAGATCCAATGCAGAGTGTCAGGTCTTGATGATGAATTGATTCCAGGTATAAAAGGTTATTTTTGCAAGCACCAACCTATTTGATGGAGCCATTGTCCAGTTTAGAACGGAGGAGTGAGCTGTTCAAATGAAGAAGGGTTGACTGATGTGCTCCCAGTTTTGATATAGGCACAACATTTAAGAAATCTAGTGCCTTCTTTTATATGTGCAAAAAAGTAGGATGATGATATATAAAAAATGTGGTTTATTTAATCTTTTATCGGCCACAAGCATTGATGTAATGACAGAAGCACAACTTTAGTTGTATTAGGAGATGGTTTAATGGAGAGTGTTTATTCATTCCTACCTTACGTCCATCGTTTTTGTTTCTGAGATTCTTGACTAATATGAGGATGCCGATGACAACGATGATAATGATGAATATCCCCATGACTATCGCAGCTATGGAGCCCGTTTCGTCACTGCAAAAACTGTTATCTAAAAGAGTAATACCAGATTATCATTGTCTTAATACATTAGGTATTGGAAAGGTAGCTACAATTAGTTTTGAAAAAGGCAAGTAGATATTCTGACATTGTTTTCTTTTTTTGAAACAAATCTAAAGTTATTACGTGCACATGCAGAATGACCGCATACCATTCGTTACTAAAACATAATCTGGTATAATGCGTCTAAGGTAAAATATATTTGGGGGCATGTCGGAGTCAACAATTACACTATTTTCTTATATATTCCTACCACAATGGCATAAGCTTTCGTCTTGGACAGAGAGATCAACAATATGTATGGTCCTGATCTGTCTGTAACTGGTGGAATGTTCTTCCCATTGCCAAAGATACTATAACATCCATCAATTATTCAGTCTTCAGGGACCGACTATTTGTAGCTGTAACTGAAATAAAATTAATCTCGATACAAACTCTCAGCCCCGCCCCAACCCTTCTAAGAATATCAAATGGTTGGTTCCTAACATGAATAAATATGTTGGTTTTTCATAACCTAATATGTTTAACATAAATGGTTATGTACATATGCAACACGTACCGTATTCAAGACTTAGTAGTTGAACACCTTCACACAAAAGCGCCTGACGAAAGTTTCCACATCCGAAGAATAGCTTCACAATCCCGAAATGTGAAGCTGTCATACGTTGTTTGACGACAAAATATTCCTTTGTAGTATAATAAACGGTTTCATTGAAGAGTGTGATATCATTCTTCCCCATCATCAACAGAAGCGGGGCGGCATCAGAGCAGTAATATCTTGAAATTGAAATATTCAGTAACAGATCCTCGCCAATGCGCAGGGAACTAGTGTCCCGTGGACTTGTTATTTGGCATGCTGGTCTACCTGTAATTAATTGGGATACTATTCTAATACATATTTAACGGCATTCATTTTGCAATACCAATAACTTACTTTTGTAAAGGCCAAAGAGCCAAGAGTGATTTTTTTTCAAAAAGGCACAGACACAAGACGTCACCAGAGACTAATATCATATCAAAAACATCATGTCCATGTCGCGTCGTGAGATCGGTGATCAACTTACTTACTTACTTTGGAGATTTAAGTGCGCTTTCCGACTGATGCGTATTTCGCACAAGGGCCCGGCCAGGCCATTAAATGTGTTTCCGAAAGGGGCGAAAGTGGTCTGTGCAACCCAAGAGGGGGTTTTAGGGTTTGCTTATATATAATTTGGGAATTTTGAGATTTGGAATAGATGCCGATGGGGTTGGGGAGGAAAACTAAGGGAGCTGGGTATGGTGGATGTTTGTTTGATTATGTGATTATGATTTGGTAGATTATAGTGTTTTTAGATGCGTTTTATTAGTTCCGTTTTGATTAAGAATACGCCTAAGGCATTGAAGTTTTCTAGTTTATTTTGTGGGTTAAGTATTGCTTCAAGAGTGAGAGCCTTGTTTTGATTGAGGGTGGTTTGTAATGCGGTTCGATGTGTTATGTAGTGTGTGCAGTGGATGAGTGCGTGTTCTGGGGTTTCTAGTTGTTTGCAGTGTGGGCAGTTACCTGTAGTGTGTTTTTTTAATTTTTATTAGGTGGTTATTTAGGTTGGTGTGTCCTGTTCGGAGTTTAGTGATTACTCTGTCGATTTTTTTTGATGGATGGAGAATTTTTTGGTTTGGTTAGTGGTTTGCTTAGCACTTTTTTGATTTGGCTATTTGAGTTTAGATATAGGTTATGCCATTTTTTTGTGATTTGTTGCTTGTTTACACTTTTAATTTCTGATTTGGAGATGGGTAAGTTTAAGCTTATTTCTGTGATTTTGAGGGATAGTTTAGCTGCTTTATCGGCGTTTTCATTACCGTATATTCCTACGTGGGCGGGTATCCACAAGAAGGTTATTTGTTTGCCTGCCTTTGTTAGGATGTTGGAGCTTTTAAGTATTTGATTTATTAATTTAGGTCGGTTTTTGGTATTTTTGTTTTGGAGGGCTTGCAGTCCACTTAGGGAGTCGGCGGTGATCAATGAAGAGGGTCGTCTTAAATAAATGTCATAACTGTGATTGATGCATTCATATGCTACACACTCTGTGTAGTCAACTGCCAGTCGTTTCGTGTCAAGCGACCAATACAACGTTCGAGTGCCTACAACTGGAAAAACAGGTCTAGGAAGATTATTTTTGGGATCGGGGAATAAATAACAGCGCCGGGAAAATAGTTTGGCCTCTGGTTTTACAACTAATAATCGTTCGCTGATATGCTAAATGTCATGGAAAACACACACGTGTTCTGACAAGAACGAACATACAAAATATATGTATCGCCATCCAACCTCGCGAATTCCTAAAAGCGACCCTAGTTTCGTTATCACGCTCTGATCCATGTACTATTCTCAATGTATCCTACCAATAAAAAAACTGACGTTGTTTTACACATTAACTGTGTGAAGCGTGAAGAAGTTTAGATGCTTAGAAATAATCACTTGAATCGAAATCGTATTATGTTTATTATATGTGATGGTGATTCCTATATTGGACACATATACACCTTCTCTTAGGCGATACTATTATAACTTATGAATCAGAACAAACAATCGTGTTAAAATGTTGGACTGGCAGATGGTCATTCTGTACCTATGGGGGCGGTAGAGTAGTCTTGTGGTTAAAGCGTTCGCTCGTCACGTCGAAGACGCGGGTTCGATTCCCGACATCAATACAATGTGTGAAGCCCATTTCTGGTGACCCAGCCGTGATATTGCTGGAATATTGCTAAAAGCGGCGTAAAATCAAACTCACTTACTCACTCACTCTGTACTTACAGCCATGTAAAAATGTAACGCCTCCACAGGAAATTGTCCTACTCTTTTGGCAGATTAATTCCAGTTGTACATCCCCAAAGTGTGCTTTTGTCATATTTATTTCTTTGATAGCGGTGCTATCTGTTGGGCCAGTCACATGTACAGCTGTAGACAGTGTCTCCTGAACGCTCCCTACACGGAGTGAAACGTTGAAATCTTTTGAGCAATAGTAGTTCTGGATGGTTACTGTCAGTGATATCTTCTCATGCAGAAGAACTGGACAGGTGTCAACGGTTATGCTGCATGGTGGGTTCTCTGAAAATAATAATACATAGCAATCTAACATAAAACACTCTGGTAGGATTGTTATCTGACATTCACACTTTACAACTAGTTTTATACAATTTGTTGCATGCAACACATGGTATGCCACTTGTACGTGAGTTGTACAAAAACGTACATGCTCTATTTGCATTCGATAAATTGTATGAACGCAGCCAATCAAAACGCGTATGAAATCACGTGGTATGTACGCGTCCATTTGTAAATGAAATGGCGACTCCGATACACGTTGAAAACTTCGGCTTTTCGGTATCCAAAGTGGGACTACTCACTAAAGGGCCTATCAAATTTAGGTACGTAGAATAACACTTGAAGAAATTATATATTTTGACATTTTCAACGGTCCTATTCTCAGGTTCAGCTGTTCACAGAGTTATTTGAAACTGCAGGCCATGTGACTATACACTGTAGGCCCAGATGAGATTAGGTCCATAATACGTTTCTAATATTTTAAATACACCGCACACACAAATATGGGTCACAGTTTTGGATTCTGTGGCACAGTATCTATTATGCGATGCCTTGAACATCTATTTTAATGAACATATATGTACAGCAAGTGACATAGGAACATAGTGTATTGGTTATTCTGTACTCTAGGTCATATCGCATATTACAAACATGATGACCTTCCTATTAACTGGAATATTGCTGAGTGCGGCGTTAAACAACAAACAAACAAACTGCACATGTCAGGGGTATATCATCATGTAGATGAACTGACCTGACTACCTGGTTATGCTGAATGATGAGTTCATCCTAAAAAATTATATGTGTTTGAACGCAATTTGTATATTTTGAAAAAATGTCACGGTCATTCGTTCACCCCAAATAATCATTAACCTTACAAAGTACTTACTTTCAGCAACAACAAGACTTCTATAAACAAAGTTATTGTCGCCATCAGCACACCCCCACGGTCCTGCATGTCTCAGTTGTACGCGCAGTATCCTTAGTTGAGTGCAAGTTGAGTTTATAATATCTGCCTGGAATCCGCTGACAGGTGTGCAGCCCGTTTGTGAACACTGTGGACTGTTCCCACTTGGAGCCTTGTAAATGATTGTAGAGAAGGCTTGAGATGTAGAGCAGGTCAGACTAGTCGGCTCATTCAGGTAGGATTCCTCGGGGACATGGATCTGAACCAAACCTGTGAGAAAGAACAGGAATATGACAACATAACCACAGAGAGCTGGTCACTTGAATTCCTCATGTGATGCGAGTAATGTATAAGCAGTGTGAGTGAGTTAGCGTTTAACGTCATTTATGTATAATGAGTGTGAGTGAGATAATGTTTAACGTCACTGATGTATAATGAGTGTGAGTTAGATAATATTTAACTTCATTGATGTATAATGAGTCTGAGTGAGTTAATGTTTAACGTCACTGATACATAATGAGTGTGAGTGAGGTAAAGTTTAACGTCACTTATGCATAATAGGTGTGAGTGTGTTAAAATTTAACGTCACTTATGTATAATGAGTGTCAGTGAGATAAAGTTTTACGTCACTAATTTATAATGAGTGTGAGTGAGTTAACATTTAACGTCAACTATGTTTAATGATTGTGAGTGAGATAAAATTTAACGTCACTAATGTATAATGAGTGTGAGTGAGTTAACGTTTACCGTCACTAATGTATAAAGAGTGTGAGTGAGTTAACGATTACCGTCACTAATGTATAATGAGTGTGAGTGAGTTAAATTTGAACGTCACTTATGTATAATGAGTGTGAGTGAGTTAAGGTTTTACGTCAGTAATGTAAAATGAGTGTCAGTGAGTTAAAGTTTAATGTAACTAATGTAAACTGAGTGTGAGTGAGTTAAAGTTTAACGTCACTTATGTATAATGAGTGTAAGTAAGTTTAAGTTTAACGTCACTTATGCATAATTAGTGTGAGTGAGTTAAAGTGTAACGTCACTAATGTAAAATGAGTATGTGTGAGTTAACGTTTAACGTGACTAATGTATAATGAATGTGAGTGAGTTAAAGTTTAACGTCAACTATGTTTAATGACTGTGAGTGAGTTAAAATTTAACGTCACTAATGTATAATGAGTGTGAGTGAGTTAACGTTTATGTCACTAATGTATAAAGAGTGTGAGTGAGTTAACGTTTACCGTCACTTATGTATAATGAGTGTGAGTGAGTTAAATTTGAACGTCACTTATGTATAATGAGTGTGAGTGAGTTAAGGTTTTACGTCATTGATGTAACATGAGTGGGAGTGAGTTAAAGTTTAACGTCACTGATGTAAATAAGTATGAGTGAGTTAAATTTGAACGTCACTTATGTATAATGAGTGTGAGTGAGTTAAGGTTTTACGTCAGTAATGCAAAATGAGTGTCAGTGAGTTAAAGTTTAATGTAACTAATGTAAACTGAGTGTGAGTGAGTTAAAGTTTAACGTCACTTATGTATAATGAGTGTGAGTGAGTTAAAATTAACGTCACTAATGGATAAAGTGTGTGAGTGAATGAACATTTAACGTCACTGATGTATGATGAGTGTGAGTGAGTTAAGGTTTTACGTGACTAATATATAATAAGTGTGAGTGAGTTCAAGAATATATTCACTAATGTATAATGAGTGTGATTGAGTTAACGGTTAACGTCACTGATGTATAATGAGTGTGAGTAAGTTAAAGTTTAATGTCACTGATGTATAATAAGTGTGAGTGAGTTAAAGTTTAACGTCACTAATGTAAAATGAATAAAAGTGAGTAAAACGTTTATCGTCTCTAATGTTTAAAGAGTGTGAGTGAGTTAAAGTTTACCGTCACTAATGTATAATGAGTATGAGTGAGTTTAAGTTTAAAGTCACTAATGTATAATGAGTGTGAGTGAATGTTTAAAGTCACTTATGTTTAATGAGTGTGAGTGAGTTAAAGTTAAAAGTCACTAATGTATATTGAGTGTGAGTGAATTAAAATTTAACGTCACTAATACATAATAAGTGTGAGTGAGTTAAAGAATATCTTCACTAATGCATAATAAGTGTGAATGAGTTAAAGTTTAACGTCACTAATGTAAAATGAATGTGAGTGAGTTAACGTTTATCGTCTCTAATGTTTAAAGAGTATGAGTGAGTTTAAGTTTAAAGTCACTAATGTATAATGAGTGTGAGTGAGTTAAAATTTACCGTCACTAATGTATAATGAGTATGAGTGAGTTTAAGTTTAAAGTCACTAATGTATAATGAGTGTGAGTGAATGTTTAAAGTCACTTATGTTTAATGAGTGTGAGTGAGTTAAAGTTAAAAGTCACTAATGTATATTGAGTGTGAGTGAATTAAAATTTAACGTCACTAATACATAATAAGTGTGAGTGAGTTAAAGAATATCTTCACTAATGTATAATAAGTGTGAATGAGTTAAAGTTTAACGTCACTAATGTAAAATGAATGTGAGTGAGTTAACGTTTATCGTCTCTAATGTTTAAAGAGTATGAGTGAGTTTAAGTTTAAAGTCACTAATGTATAATGAGTGTGAGTGAGTTAAAATTTAACGTCACTAATGTAAAATGAATGTGAGTGAGTTAAAGTTTACCGTCACTAATGTATAATGAGTGTGAGTGAGTTAAAATTTAACGTCACTAAAACATAATAAGTGTGAGTGAGTTAAAGTTTAACGTCACTAATGTAAAATAAATTTGAGTGAGTTAACGTTTATCGTCATTAATGTTAAAAGAGTGTGAGTGAGTTAAAGTTTACCGTCACTAATGTATTATGAGTGTGAGTGAGTTAAAGTTTTACGCCATTAATGTTAAATGAGTGTGAGTGAATTAAAGTTTAACGTCACTAATGTAAAATGAATTTGAGTGAGTTAACGTTTATCGTCACTAATGTTTAAAGAGTGTGAGTGAGTTAAAGTTTACCGTCACTAATGTATAATGAGTGTGAGTGAGTTAAAGTTTTACGCCATTAATGTTAAATGAGTGTGAGTGAATTAAAGTTTACCGTCACTTATGTATAATGAGTGTGAGTGAGTTAAAATTTAACGTCACTAATACATTATAAGTGTGAGTGAGTTAAAGCATATCGTCCCTAATGTATAACGAGTGTTAGTGAGTTTACGTTTACCGTCACTAATGTAAAATAGGTGTGAGTGAGTTGATAAAGAATTTCTTCAATTTCGTTTGCCTTCGCGTTTCTATAAACCTAAAATGAAAGGACCCTTCCGCTAGCGGATTGGCTGATAATCGAGTGTGGCTACAGTTTTGTGTGTATGTCACTGACTATAGCAATTTGTGAGGTTAGCAATTTGTGAGGTTAGTAAATATTGTTGAATTGTTCTTAAAAAATTGACTTGAATATACTGTTTTGATTATAGAGTTATATACATACAGAAGTATGGACACACGTTGTATTATCCGCTACCTCCATAAACGCAGCTCAAGTCTTAAATACTTGCCAAAAAAATTCTCTCCTCTAAAAATAATAAATACATAATTTGTCTGCAAGTTTTATGAAGAAGGAAATGCATTTTGGGTTCCTTTCACAGACCCATGTTGCGTGTTTTCAAACTACAATAATGTTTCATTGAAATAGTGATGGTCAAACGTATAAAGCGTACGTACAATAGGACAGTACTGTACCGAGGCGTGTTTCAGTGGATGTGTCAATTATCTTGAAACAATAGTCAAGTTCGAAATGCCAGCAACTACGTTATATGACTATTCAAAGACGTCATATCAAACCGGATAGTGCCGATGAAATTACCAGTAAGTATATGGATTTACTGCCTATAGATATACCTAATGGTAATTGTTTCCACATAGTCATGTCGAATCAACAAAATAAACAGTTTTAGTACTCTCTATACAGCGAGAGAAACATAAAGATTGCCACGTCAAATGACTTTGTAAAGATGGATTTAATGGACGTGACGGTGGAGTAAATAGTTCCCGCTTAGTAATTTTTGCTTCTCCACTTAAGACAGACAAGGAATCTATGTGGTGTTTGAGTTTTAATACTGCTGCTACACAATATATGCATTGAGAAAACGATAATTTGACGTTTAATGTGATCGAACTCCAAGCTTGATGCTGCTCTTTTAATTAGTGTTCCGCCTGAACACAAGTACATGGCAGGTTGGGTGGGGTTGGGATCTAACGCCGCTTTGAACAATATTTCAGTTTTATCAATATCTGTCAGTCTAATGTTGTTGTAGTAATGCATTTCTTGATAGCAGTTTACTACTTTGGTAAAATCTGCGAGCACGCTTTTAATACTCACAAACAAAGAAACACACTCAGAGCGAATGTGGGACTAAAACCCACAATCATAGGTTTCTGGCACGCCTAGGGGACGCAACTCTAGCGAATTACAGTGCGTTAAACGTCTTGGCCACCCGTGGTCGTGAACAAGAAGGTGGTTTGAGAACCAGGTTATGTATGGCATCAGAATAATATATCATATTTACATTAAAATTCTGAAATTATAGCCCTATAATGTACTAATGCTGCAGCCCTAACGCGTAACGCGTACCGTTCTTGTAGAGCAAGAACAAAAGCCTGTTGTGTCGAATGTTTTAGGGATGATTTTTTTATCATATTTTGTCAATCGATTGGTAATATGGCTACTGTTTTGCATTTGCACTCCACAGCTGACAAACATCATCCAAATAAACGCAAACTGCGTATGCATAACAGTTCAAATCAGATGAAAAAGAATGTTGCCAAAGTATTGATGCATTCAAAATAATACAATAACAACAACCTGTGCGTCCTTTGTGAGATGGTTGTTTTGTTGCATTTTCCGTGCAGGCAAAAACAGCTTTCTCGTCGTAACCGAAATGCAAACAAGGTGAAACTAGTCGCATGCAGGATGAGGGAACAAGATAAAGCAATGCATGGTGAGTGCGTGAGTGAGTGAGTTTGGTTTTACGCCGCCTATAGCAATATTCCAGCAACATCAAGGCGGGGGAAAAATGTGATTTCGTGATTTGTTATAAATTAATTATAACATCATATAAACAAAAATAGAAACCGACTGTCTGCGACTTGCATTGTTAGGTTTGCCAGGACGTAGAGGACAAGGACAAGTCTGTTGATGGAAGACTTCATCTGTCAACATAATATACGAGATAGGTATTAATAACTACCACCATGGGAACTAGCATGTACACAAAACGCGCACATTGCCAGGATAATATCATTTTCAACCAGGCAAATGGAGAATACACGAAATGATTCACGCTGAAATGAATTACAGATATCTCAAATACGTATACTCAACAACAACAGTTCCTGTGACACCAATATTTTAGTGTAGTTTTCAAACAAGTAAGGTTTGGTTTTCAATAGTGTAGTACATGTATGGAATCAAGTCACAAAAACGCAACCGCTACAGAAAAGCATGCATTCCATGCAATAGTTGACTTTTATGCGAGCCCCATGAATTTCACTGACTACGAATGGGTATACAAACATGTGCGTTAACGGGATTCCATATGCATTGTTTAACACCGTGCTTACAACAACCACTCCCCCCCAAAAAAATTTTTTTTTAAAAATACTCAATTATTCAACATTACGAAATGCCACGCCTGTCCGAAAATGAGCGTCTGCGAGCCATTGGTATGCTTGAAGCAGGATCGAGTCAACGTGATGTTGCAAGACAATTTAACGTCCACAGAAACACCATTTGGTGTTTATGGCAACGTTGGCAACAGACGAATGCAGTCAGAGACCATCCTCGGAGTGGCAGGCCACGTGTAACCAATAATCGGCAAGACAACTGGATTCGACCAACACACCTACGAAATCGATTCCAGCCAGCAACAGTGACTACAAGAAGCATCCCTGGCCTTCGACGAGTATCTTCACAAACCGTACGTCGCCGCCTTAGATGTGCAGGGATTGTCGCCAGAAGACCCGCAAGATGTCCGATGTTGACAGGAAACCACCGTCAAGCACGTCTACATCCGTGCAGACAGCGCCTGCGATGGACGGCCATGCAGTCGGGACAAGTTCTATTCACTGACGAGTCTCGTTTTTACCTCAGCCACAGCGATGGACGGATTCGAGTGTACCGACGTCGAGGTGAATGTTACGTCAATCATTGTGTCATGGAAGAAGATCGTTTCGGGGGCGGCTGCGTTATGTTATGGGGTAGATTCTCTTCAACAAAACAACGTGAATGTCATCCCCTGGCCGGCACGTTCCCCTGATCTCTCACCAATCGAGCACATGTGGGATGAGATGGATTGGCGCCTTCGACGTCAACCACGTGTTCCACAGACACTCCAGGAACTTCGAAACAATGCTCCAGCAGATACGGACAGATATCCCACAGGACTTTGTGCGAGGCCCGGTCCATTCCATGAGACGAAGATGTGTTGCTCGCAGGTGGACACACACGGTTTTGATTTGTAAATTGACATTTTGGCATGTTCATGTTGTTCTTTTTAGGAAATCTCGCATTTTCTGAAGTCAGTATGGCAAATTAAACCATTTGAACATTTACAGGAGTCTTTTATCTGTTGCAAACCGAAATAGTTTCAGATTTGGTAAAAAGCATAACTTTGCATAACATCTTATTCAATGTCACAGGAACTTTTGTTGTTTAGTATATAATTATAGGTATCTGCAATTACTGATATCTTGAAAATACTACCTGAGACCCAACATTTGATTTATGATATCGAATGTTGGTTCTCAGCAAAAAATGGAACAAAACAACATGTGGTGGTCACTGATTTAACAGGACGCCTCTTAAAACAACTGTTCGGTTAAACAAGGGCGCACAGTATAATGTGGGAGGATCTGTTTTGCTATTCGAAAATATCTCACCTTTGTAACATATTTGAAGGAGTAATTATTAAAAGAACAGACCACAATAAGGACAATTGTTGGAGAACAGGGTAGTATCATAGCTCGAAATGTTTTATAATTGACAATAGATTAACATTCGTGGGGAAGTCGGGTTTGGCACAATAAAAACAAAACAAAAAAACAACTTAATGTTTTACAATTGTACCTTTCTCAGCCACAACAGTATGTTGTGATACATTCTTAAATTGTTTTATATCCATAAGATAGCACCGATCAGCAAAATGGTGTTGCAAAAGTCCACCATGCTCTATTAAAGATAAATATGTGATCATAACTTGTGGAAATATACACTCTATTTTAGGCGTTTTGCCCGGTTCATTCAACGAAATATTCACATTTAAAAGAAAGAAAGAGGTTAACGTCTAAGACCTCCATGACTTTCCTTCCCCTTTAAGCTGACACTCCGTGATGTAACTTAAATACAGTTCGAGACAGCGTTAAACACAACTCACTCATTCAGTGTATATTAATGGAAGTCTGATATATTATGTATGGACAATACAGTGAAGTTGAAGGTGTTGTGTGTGATTCCTTTCATTCAAGTTATGGTTGGTTGGTTGGTTGGTTGTTTTACGCCGCACTCTGCAATATTCCAGCTATATGACGGCGGTCTGCACATAATCGAGTCTGGACCAGACAATCCAGTGATTGATATCATGAGCATCGATCCACGCATTTGGGATCGATGACATGTATCAACCAAGTCAGCGAGCCTCACCACCCGATCCCGTTAGTCGCCTTTTACGACAAGCATAGTCGCCTTTTACGGCATGCATGAGCTGCTGGAGACCTATTCTACCCCGGATCTTCAAGGGTCTTGGCTTCTCTGTTGGTGGAGCGTTACTCTAGCGTAGGCGGCGTAAACTGGCGTTACTGATTTTAGCGAGAGTGCTGCCTGTCAAGTATTGATCAGATAAAGGCATCTGATATTACCGCTTAGTGATTGCCTCAACTTTCACAAATGTATTTTAAAGATTTGTTTCTAACATCTACACAAGAATATGCACGGGGTACATTTACTGCTGACACCGATGATATAATAATTACAAGAGCTGAAACGCTTTTACAGAGTTACAAGAAAAAGTGATATATAGGATACTGTTATCAATTGGGATGTATCTATTTGGTAATGTGATGCTTTGGGATTTCTGCTTTTCTTGCAGACGATGGTTACTTTATTGTGGTAAATAGATTGTTGCACATATTGTGGGCTGCAACTTGAACTGATACTGGTTCCGATGGGGTCAAATACAGTAACAGTTAAGACTGAGCTGAAGAATTTGAGCTGAATCTTGAGTCTCTGAAACAGTAGAATTACGGCTGATTTCCACTGACTGAAACACTTCGCCAAAACTTACACCACTGACATCTCAGTACATGTTATGCGAATTAATGAAGAACTAATTGCAGAGCTACTATACAGGTAAACTATAGGCAACTGTGGCTAAATGGGATGTATATATTTGACAATGTGATGCTCTGTGGTTCGGTATGTTTACACAGAGACCATATACCATACACCATATATATAGGCTTATGGTCTCTGGTTAACAGCATTGTGGTAGCAAGTTTGCTTAAGGTTCAGCACTGACAGAAGAAGTGGTTTCAACACTTTTGCCGAGAGGAAAAATATGCTTTAAGTCTTTTGGAAAAAAAATATATTTAAAGGAACATAAGATATTTTCTGTTTTCGGCCAAAAAATTGTTATGCCATGATAAAAGCTTATCGTTCTCTGGACCAAGGACATGTTATGATTTGTCCGTTTTAACAGTTAATTTAGTATTGTCCATAACAAACCTCAGAATGATTCGGAATATTACAATTACTTATCACGAGTTCGGATTATTATAGTTAGTGAGTGAGTTGGGTTTAACGCCGCTTTTACAGTATTCCAGTTATATCGCGGCTCGGATTATTATAAGTAGGTTAGGTTAATTATAGGGACATGTACTACGCCTAAATAAAAACACTCAAATAATTATTACTCTAAATAGAACAACTAATTATAGTAGAATTTTTTTTTGCAAAAATGAAAAGTATAGTTGGAGACAATGCGTAATGAGGAATGATAGAACAGAACGGAGAAAATTATTTTTTCCACAGAAAATATATTGCATTGGCCATGGGAATCTGTGATAACAGTCAGTTAGATACTGTCCATAAATGTGGACTCCGTCTAATCATCGTCGATTTTATTTAAGACAAAAGCAGGCTGTAATTCAGTTGAAGCGAATTTACCCTTGTTTCAGACGACGTTGTTCACATATTAGAGAGCCAGGACACTTGAAACAGCTACTGATTGCGGAGAAAGCATTGCGTTGAAGGTATCATTAGTGGAGATTTTAAAACATGCAACACAAGTACTCAACTTGCCTCAAATAAAAAATCAAGAAATGTTTAAACATTTGTATGAACATATCTCACCTTGACAGCCGTCTGATCCGCTCTGTTAATACACATTTTCACCACGTTCTGTTTCACTGTGTATACATCACGATGTACAATATTCACAGTTTAACATGTTGTGCTCTGAATATTATTGAAAAGCCTCCTGACTCATTGTATTGGTATTTGAATCTAATCTCTGTACCTAACACTGAACATGTAGTGTATTCAAACACAGGTGAAGGAACAAGCTGAATGGTAACTCTGTCACACGTTTGACCAACACAATGATTCCGAAAATTATCAATAATGGGGACTGATAACTGTGACCTAGCGGTTAACTGCTTGTGTATGCATTCAATATTATATCTAACTGACTTTCCTTGTAATGATCTGAACAACCAAAAAATAAAGATAGTCATTGAGTCACACTAAAAGGCTGGAACCCTCATATAACGCGTGATCAAATTTCGTCATAGTTGAACCGACATTTCTGCGTCAGTCAGCTTTACATCATCATGATCAAATACTATCTGTACACACATCTCACATACAAGTGTTTGAAGGTGTACAAGTCTAAATATTTGTAAGGTTATCTTGCTCGAATGAATTGAAACTCTCCATGGTATTTTCATTTGGTATATTGTAACGGGGCCGTATTCACCATTTGCGCTAAGTTTGGTTTCATCTTCATGAGATGTTTATAAATAGTATAAAGGCAGAGTACCTTGAAATTTTTTGTTTTATGAATTTGCTATCTTTCGGTTACAAACAATGCGTCAATATCCGAGGTGTACAACATAAATAAGACATCATACCATTTCGAAAACTATCAATGTGTATGAGTTTATCGTACTCTTGATCACAAATTAGCGTGAATGGGTTAGCTTGACTATGCGAAAAGATAAGTTCTAATCCGACTTGGTGTCCCTCGTCAGCTCCCAGATCGTTAGGAAAATCTGCCACATAGAGCGAGATACATTTTCATTCAGGTCAATGTTACTGAGGCTTTCGACTTATTTACGGGTATCTCCCTGTATGACGTCATTCATAACTGCCACCGGCTGGCTTCCCCTGCCCCGAAGGAATCCACAAGTTTACATTATGAGTGAAAGACGTAATGAGGACTGTTTAGGGTATAGAATATTTTAGGGTAGTGGGTTTTCCAAGATATCAATATTTCTGACACACCAATCTCGGGGTTTAATCTCCGCGATGCAATCTTATCTATTTCGTATGTAGATGGTTTCTGAACGAGTTGTATCTCCTCATGATAAAACGTTCTGATTAATTAGTTCCCAACGTTATAACTTAATGTAGACATCACGGACAATCTTCCACAAACGACAATACCTATATTAAACACTTACTTTGTCCAATTAGAAGTATTACCTCTTCTCAAGGCCATCTTAGCTTAACTCGATCTGACATGAGTTCCTACTTTTAACGTGGTGCCTTTATATTTCGAGAAATGTTAATAAAATCTAATATTTCTAATAGTATATCTGTTAACAAATCTCCCGGAATTACTTCTTCAGGTTTTCTTCCTATCGTTCTCTGATAACTGAAATTTCACTAAATCTTGAACTTTGTATACGTATTTGAGCGATCTCCGTTTTGTAAAGTAGCGCCACGTACGTTGTTTATGCCTTCTTTGAAATCGCTCGACTACTGCCCATTTTCCTTCATATTTTGACTGGTGTAATGCTGTATACCCAATTCCTTTCATCAACTTTCAAATGTTTTCCCTCATCGCTCTGAATATGTTCAGGAGTGGAAATCGAAGCACGTGTCAAATAAAGCCTTCTGAAACGTGTATAGAAATATTCTACTCGTGCTTGTTTTGCTAAACACGTCTAAAACACATAATAAATACTTATATCCGTCATTCTCACCAAAGAGATCAACACGGTTAAATCCGTGTCCCATAACTGATCTACAGTGCTAACGCTAGACTCTGTGTCCGTTGCCTATCACCAATTAGTGTTGATAATAATCCTGACTTCCAGTTGTCCATTGCTTATCATCTATCAGCTTTAAGTTTCCACCCTTGTTGTCTTACTAATTCCGTTGCTCTTAGAGATACATATATATGCTCCTGCCTTATAGCAATTATTCACCGAAAGAGTAGGTATCTACCTCGAAACGTTGCGTTCTTAATAATGAAGAAGTTGACATCCAGAATTTCTGTTCCTTGTGTGTATCACTTCTAAGTTCCTTGCCAAGACTTGACCTCTCAGAAAGGTTACAAGACATCTCTGAGATAAGATTTAAGTCGTCTCTCAGATAGGATATACGTCTTCTCTCGGATATCGTTCAAATCCTCACTTACATATAAACTAAGTCTTCTCCCAGATTAGGTATTATTCGTCTCTCTGAAAGGGTATAACTTCTCTCTCTGATGGAGTATAGGACGTCTCTCATATAGGGAAAAAGTCGTCTCTCAGAGAGAATATGTCGTCTCTCAGAGACAATATAAATTGACCTTTAGAAAGGGTATAAGTGTCTCAGATTGTGTATTTGTTGTCTCTCAGAGAGAATGTAGTTCGTCTCTCATATAGGGCATAATTCATCTCTCAGATAGGGTATAAATCGTTTCTTAGGCAGGGTATTAGTCATTTCTGACATTGGGTCAACCTCGTCTCTAAGATAGTGTAAACATGTAAGTCATGTCACAGGTAGGATATAAGTCGTTTCGTTGATGGGGTATAAGTAGTCTCCCAGATAGTGTATAAATCGTCCCCCAGATAGAATATATGTCATATCTCTAATAGGGTAAGATCCATGTCACAGGTATGGTATTAGTCATCTCTCAGAGATATGAGGCAGGGTATAAGGTAGTTCTCAAAAAGGGTATAGGCTGCTAAATGGGAATGTAAGTAGTGTCTCAGATACGATATACGTCGTCTCTCAGATAAGACATATAAGGTGTAAGTCGTGAAAAGCCCTTTTCATGTGGAAGTCCTGGAATTTAGGATATTGTATTGGTAAGATTCAATAAGTAACCCTTGTAGTAGACCTGAATCTAATGAATCACAGGTATCAGTGGCAGAATGTCTTGAGTGAGGCACATGATCCGTCATTAAATCCAGGATATACTGTTAGAAACAGATGTTTTCCAACATGTGTCCCATACTGGATAGAGCGTGTGCCCCGAGAGCGGAAGGTCGGTGGTTCGATCCGCTGGTTTCATTACCCACGTGGTGAAGATACAGGTGGTAAGATACTAAATATGTACGTCACACGTGTGTCGTACAAGGTTGATCTTGTTTTATTCGTTTTGATTGGATAACCGTGACCTCTGTCACACCGGGACTACTTTTTTCATTCATAAAAAAATCGCGAGACGTCATTCATTTTGCGATTACAAGGTAGAACTGAAGAAATTCATGAGAACGAGAGATATTTACAAACACTTTATTAAACCAAACAAGATAGTCACACGCATCAAATTCGGTTTGCATTCTATATAAGTTATGCATAGAGCTTCTACAGACATATAATCGAGCTAGATCTATAAATCGATTTACAATGTACGACTGCCGATCGAGCCCGTCCCTTGAACGTGACGCACCCGACCACTTTCGCAACTTTCAATTTGATTTAACATTAAAGGATAAGCGTGGTGAAATGAAGTCTGTTTAATCTATCTGGACAGATATCGAGACTTACTTGGGATGATCCGGTTGAGCCATCGGTGTCCCCTTTGAAGCGTATTTGTGGCGCTGTTTCGGGAGGTGTTCATGAATGAACGAACACGACAGCACGAACAGATCACTTAAAGTTCACAGTTCCGATACAAACCATTCGAAAACTGTGTGCCTGACTTCTGATTGTGGCCCCAAACATCCCAAATGTGAACAATAATATTCCCTATCTCTAGCGTAAAACGCTGTGAGTGCATCGCGGTTGTATTTTCTTATTCCGGTGGCGACCTTGCCCTTCGATCGTTCGAAGCTGTCACTGACATGCAAGCACATTTGAGTTTGTTGATTTTCACGTCTTCAGTATATAGGGTGGTACAGTTAACATGAATGTCTTTGGCGAACAGTCTGATTTCCCAAAATGGTACGGACATGATATATATTCAGCTGATAGAACAAGTAAACCGAACCATTTTGATTGCACAGACGGGACACCGGCAGTGCGAGTGACCGACTGTTGGTCCGATATTCAAAGCGCGGCGCTAATGTGACATTTCAACTTTTCTTATCGGTGTCCTGCGTACTAACAACATATATTTGGTCATATATCAATATTCATGCGCAACCAGATTTTGCAACCGGTTTCAGTTTGGTCTGTCAACGAACGTAAGTTGTTGTGTATTTACGTTAGATACCATTTTTACGAAACTCGAGAACTTTCTATGGTATCTGACCTCACTTTTGCTCGGTCAGATACCATAGAAAGTCCACTCGTTTCGTAAAAAAAGGTATCTAACGAGAATGAGTATAGTATTCTCTATTAATCATACCACATGACGTCAAATTTTGGTTCCCGTTGTTATCCTGCCCGACTCTCGGCACTAAGGGGATGAAACAAAGATGAGATGGATCTGAGTCAGAATACATGTATCATGGCTGGGGTATGCATGTTAACTGTTGCATAGTGTATCTATAAAACAGGAAAAAGTCCGGACTAGCACAAGCAGACAAACACCCATGTACATGAACATCGACATATAAGTGCAATAAACCCCCTTGGACCTCACCTCATACGTCACTCAATCAACTTTCAGATTATCCTCGAAGAAAAGGGAGGGTTTCCTTTATTTCTTCGATGGAAGCAGGTTATTGTTCAATGAATTTATGACTGTGGTATACTTGTGTATGTGTGGCATTGGCAATCAAGGCAGCCTTACAGTTGTCATGGTTGAAGAAAGAAACTTCTTCACCCACTGCATGACAATGGAAGGCCTCTGTTGCTGTGGCATCAACGAAGGACACAATAATGAGTTTCTGATCCTATAATCATTGGTTGCTTCTGTATCAGCAATTTATGTTGGTTTTGTTCGGAAATGAATGAACATAGTTTTGCTTACCTTTGTAATCGGCAACTATGTAA